AAGCAGTAAGTGAAGGCGAGTGGCCGCGCGGGTCTGGGACATGTTCTTGCGCTGCTGGGGACTTTATGACATGGCGCACTTGGGCCACACTCAGTCTATTAAAATTTGTTTTCTCGATTTAATAATAAATTAACCTTAGCTTGCTGTAATTTTATACACTTAATTTTTTAACTTTCGACTCTTATAATAATAGCTTAAAAACACATTGTTCAGCTGCATAAAAATATTTTCTTTCTAACCTTATTCTATAAGCATTTTCTATTTTAATTTTTCCCCTTGTTTAACTTTCTTGTTAAAAACTGGAACACAGACACAGAGCGGCCAGGGCCTGCTCAGGGTCAGGATCAGCGATATGGCTGTCCCCCACCTCCACATCCTGCCCCGGGGGAGGTCTCAGGGCAGTAACACCACGCAGCTGTCCCCTCCTGCGATGGCAGCGCCGCCTTCTGGAGCACCACCTTCTGGAGCACGGCCCGAGGACCTGCCCGAGGCCCTTCTCCAGGAGGAGGTGCCCCCCTTTTCAGAGATATGTCCACGGTGTGTCTTTGAAACGGGCATCTGATCTCACTGCTCCCGGTCTAAACACCTCCAGGGCCTCCACGGCCCAGGAGTGAGACCCGAGTCTGCACTGGAGCCGGAGCGTCCACAGAAGCTGCCCTGTGACCCCTCGCCCCCACCCACCCCCTCACTCCCACGGCAGACGGTGCATGGAAAGGGAGGGAAGCGCTCGGGCTGGGGGTCCTTGGGGAGGGGTGTGTGGAGGGCGACCCCGGGAGGGGAGAAGATGCCCTGCATACGCCATGACTCGCCCCCAGCACAGAGCACGCTCAGCGCAGACTCTCGGAACCGGAGCCCCGGGGCGGAGCCTGGGAAGCGGCGCCCGCACGCACCCAGCTGATGGAGAAGCACGCTGGCCTCTGGCACGCTCTAGCCGCAGCCCGCAGCGCCGACGCCCCTGCCACGTGTGCGGTCACCAACCCCAGCTGGCCCCTCGGAGCTGCAGCTGCGGCAGCTCCCGCCCAGAGGGCAGGTGGCACCGGGGGGCGGAGCCTCACCGCGAGACCTTCCCTCGCCTGTGCGGGGCAGGTGCGCACGCACCAGCTCCAGCAGTTAAGCAAGCAGAGGGTGTGGCGGCGCTGGCCACGGGCCGGGCGGCTGGCACTCGCCGTGGCCTTCAGCGAAACGGAAGGACTGCCTGGGAGCCGCAGGCCCGGGGTTTTGACAAAGCCACCTCTGCACATAATAACGGCCTCACCGCGAGACCTTCCCTCGCCTGTGCGGGGCAGGTGCGCACGCACCAGCTCCAGCAGTTAAGCAAGCAGAGGGTGTGGCGGCGCTGGCCACGGGCCGGGCGGCTGGCACTCGCCGTGGCCTTCAGCGAAACGGAAGGACTGCCTGGGAGCCGCAGGCCCGGGGTTTTGACAAAGCCACCTCTGCACATAATAACGTCTGTTTCTGAAGACAGACTCACACCCAGACTCTCTGCAAGACTCCACCAGAGTGAGGGCCTCGCACCGGTGTTGGCCACTCACCTGAAGCAAGTCTCAGGTGAGAACACAGGACGTGGAAAAAGCAGGGCCGGCCACGCCCCCCGCCCAGCCCCGCCCCCAGGCCTGGATCTCACTTTACAGCGACATGTACGCCATGTACCGGGGTGGGGGGGATGGAACCCAGCTGCCTAGGCAACTGGGTGAAGAGGGGATAATATACCTCACAGAGTTTTATGAGAAAGCGGAAATTGGTTTTGCCTGCACTTCCTTGGTTTTATAGAATTTTAATAAGTCTGAGCCTGGCTTTTAGCAGATGCACCGAGTGTGCAGTGGCGGTGTGCACGACAAAGAGCGCCCTCAGATTCACTGATAACACCGCACTGGATGTGGCCCCCGCCCGCGTCACAGCCTCGTCCTCAGAGCCATTGCCAGGCAGATGTAGCCCGGCGGGGACCTGCCTGAGCTCAGCGGACATCAGGGCCGGGGGGGACGCAGAGCACACCCACTCCTTCCCCTTCACATTGGGTGAAAACTTGGCCAGAAACACCCCTGGGGGCCCCGCTCCTCCCGGGTTGCTGTGGGGGAGGGCAGAGCATCCAAATGGTAAAGCAGAACCCTCAGACTGACTGGACTATGTGGGGAAAAGTCGTGGGGGACCGTGACAAGCAAGAGCAGAGGCAGGCAATTCCTGGCTCCTTTTCGAGCATGCCGGAGCCCTGAGGGCGGGCTGGTCCCACGGCGATGGGGTGATGGGGCCGTGGAGGCAGCCGTGTCCCTGGATGAAATCTTAGCAATGCAAACATGCTTGTCCTCGGCCACAGGTGGCTCCTCCTCCCCGCACTGCGAATGGTTTTTGCCAGGCACGCAGCACAAATCTCTTTAGGTCAAACCCTCATTTAAATTGGTTGTGACATTTCACTTGTTCCCTTATTAACTAATCAGTGAAATAAAAATTTCGACATGTGTTCATTGTATACTTGTATGAGAATCACGGTAATACCCTCCGTTGAAATTTCTCCTTTGTTTAGTTATAATCCTACTAAAAATGCCAACAGTTTTCCATGTAGGAAAACTGATTCTGAGGTTTACAGGGAACCCCAGCGGGCCACGAGGGTCAAGTTAGTTTTGAAGAACAACAAAGTGGGAGGACGACTGTCCGCAAAGCAGAATAATTAACAAAATGGGCTTGAAGGGGACAATGGGAAAGGCCGCTCACGTGACACTCAGTATGCGGCAGAGGCGTCACGTGGGTTGAGAGGGAAGATGGTCGTTTTAGCAAGGGCTGCTGGGACAATCGTGCATCCACATGGAAAAAACATAACTAGGCCCCTACAATGCGCACGCACGTACACACACACACACACACACACACACACACGCACACACTCCAGGTGGGGCAAAGACCTACACGTGAAAGACAAAACTATAAAGTTTTTGAAAAATAAAGCTTATGGGTCCAGAATAAAAGGATTTCTTCAACTGACACAATAAGCACCAGCCCTACAGGAAAAGATGAATGAATCAGACTACTCAAGAATGTAAAGCTTTAGGTCACAAAGTGACTCCACAGAGGACACAAGAAGACAAGCCGGAGTAGGAAGGTGCCTGCATCCCTCGTCAG